ACAACCACACCAGCTTGAATTTGACACGGGTGACGTAGAAAACGTCAACGGCAACGTTGGGGATGCGCCAGACGCCCCAAACGTCAGAGTAGTGGCACCTCTTGTGCCAGAAGCTGCACTTTATGATTGGGCACAGCCTACAGCTGACAACCTGGCTACTGCCATAGCTGTGCCCCCAATTCAAGCGGAGACATTCTAGATCACCAACAACATGCTGCATCTTCTGCAGAATAAGGGATTGTTCTCCGGGTCACACATTGAAGACCCTCAGCAACACTTGAAAAATTTTCTGTCGATTTGTGTGACCCAAAGGCAGCCTAATGTGACCCCGGAAGCTATCAAGCTATTACTGTTCCCGTTCTCTATGACTGGGGAAGCTCAGACTTGGTTGAATTCGCTCCCTATAAATTCCATTGTCACCTGGGAGGAATTAGTCAAGCAGTTCCTGAATAAGTTCTACCCACCTAATAAGACTGCAAGGCAGATTGATGAAATATTGCAGTACAAGCAGCAGCCGACTGAGACCTTACAAGAAACTTGGGAAAGATTCAAAGGGATGCTAGTGAAGTGTCCTCACCATGGTATTCCGGACCAGATGCTCGGTCAAAGGTTCTACATGGGGTTAGCTGACAATCGAAAGGCCAATGTGGATGCTTCAGCTGGAGGTGCATTTTTGAGTAAGACATTCACCGAGTGCAAAGTCCTTCTTGACAAGATGTCCCAGAATTCGGGGTGGATGACTAGAGGTACAACACCGGCACCCATAGTGCATTCAGTTCCTCTTGACCTAAATAATTCGCATGCAGAGAACATAGCCACACTCATGACTCAGATGAGTATATTGACAAAGAAGATTGATGAGATGGGTACAAAGCAGGTGCATATTGTTGACACAACAAATGGGGGACTGTGCACACGCTGTGTTAATCGTCTTATGTGTGTTCATGGAGTGGAAAAGGTGACAGTCAAGGGGTAAGAAAGATATGAATTATGTCAACAACTTTGGGGGTCAGAGACAAGGAGGACAGCAGTGGAGACCGGCACCAAATCAGCAATACAGACCAAACATGCCACAGCTTGGAGGTATGCAACCCCAAGGCCAAATGGTGCCAATACCATATCAGAGACAACAGGGCTATCCACAGCAAAATCAGCAACAATTGACATATCAGCCACCTCCTCAGCAGCAAGATAATAACATGGTAGAGATCAGGGGTATGCTTCAGCAACTCATCGGGACAAATCGTAAAATACAGGAAAAGTTGGCAGTGCATGATTCAGCTATAAAGAACATTGAAACTCAGTTGGGGCAGCTGTCTATGGCCTTAGACAATCGCCCCCAGGGAACATTGCCAGCGGACACAAACATTAACCCCAAGGAGCAAAACCCGAATCAGCTGATGGCAGTAAGTCTACGGAATGGGAGAGATTTAGACAGAGAGCAGGAGATTGCAAAAACCAGCAAAGAGACTACGCCAGCCACTCCAGTTCCATTAGAGGTAGATGAACCAGCAGAACTTACTGAAGTGGTGGTTGAACAGGGTCAGGATGACAGGGCTAAGGATAAGCTGAGTGTACCTCTTGTGCCACAAAACCCCAACAAAAAGAAGCCAGCAAAAAGTACACAAAGGGTGATACCTGCACCATTCCCTCAGAGACTGGTAAACAAAAGAAGGAAGATCAATACAGGAAATTCATGGAGATGCTGCGTCAAATTCAGTTGAATATTCCTCTGATGGATGCTTTGAGGGAGATGCCAGGCTATGCAAAGATGATGAAAGATCTAATGTCAAAGAAGTTTGATTTTCAGGACCTATCCACAGTAACTCTGACTCAGACATGCAGTGCAGTAGTGACACGACCCATGGCTCAAAAGATGTCTGACCCTGGTAGCTTTACTATTCCGTGCACCATTGGAAGCTATGCCTTTGCAAAGGCATTATATGACTTAGGAGCCAGCATAAATTTGATGCCTCTGGCTATATACACCAAACTGGGCATTGGCAGAGCTAGACCGACTTCGATGCTGTTGCAACTGGCTGACCGCACGGTTAAAAGGCCAACTGGGATTCTTGATGATGTGTTGGTGCAAGTGGGGAAGTTTGTGTTCCCTGCAGACTTTGTTATTCTGGATTGTCAGGTAGATGAGGAGATACCTATCATTTTAGGGAGTCCATTCTTAGCCACTGGGAGAGCACTGATCGATTCTGAAACTGGGAATTAAAAATGAGGCTGAACGATGAAGAAGTCATATTCAACGTTCAGCAATCCATGAGGAGACCCAGTGAATATGCTAATTGCTCCCTAGTGGAGGCAGTGGATGTGATCCTGCACGAAGATGATGTGACCCTAACTGCTAAAGATCCATTGGAGGCCTGCCTGACAAATTTAGAGGAGATGGATGGCGAAGGGATGGCTGAGTGGGTCATGGCACTTGAAGGCCAAGGATTCTGGAAAAGGGAACCTCAGTTCGAGTCCCTTGAATTAGAAAAGAGGACTACACCACCAGCTAAACCATCAGTGGAGGAACCACCCAAACTGGAGCTGAAACAGCTCCCAGCTCACCTCAGATATGTTTTCTTAGGGCCTGATTCTACTTTGCCTGTTATTATATCATCCGATTTGCTAGATATGCAAGTAGAGCAGCTCCCATAGGTACTACAGGAATGTAAGACTGCCATTGGTTGGACCATGGCAGACATAAAGGGTATCAGCCCAGCCTTCTGTATGCACAAGATTCTCTTGGAAGAAGGGCACAAACCTTCCAGAGAAAATCAACAAAGGCTGAACCCGAATATGAAAGAGGTGGTGAAGAAGGAAGTGATCAAATGGTTAGATGCAGGAATTATCTTCCCCATCTCTGACAGCAATTGGGTCAGTGTTGTTCAATGTATTCCAAAAAGGGGGGAATGACTATCGTACAACTGAGAACAACGAGTTGATCTCAACTCGTACAATCACTGGATGGCGGATTTGCATAGATTATCGGAAATTGAACACAGCCACCCGAAAGGACCACTTCCCCCTGCCATTCATTAACCAAATGTTGCAAAGGCTGGCCGGGCGATCGCACTTCTGTTTCTTGGATGGATATTCGGGGTACAATCAGATCTCAATAGCCCCCGAAGATAGAAAGCAAACATCCTTCACTTGTCCGTATGGCATCTTCGCCTTTAGGAGAATGCCTTTTGGGCTGTGCAATGCACCGGCGACATTTCAACGGTGCATGTTAGCCATTTTCACAGACATGGTGGAGGACATTATGGAGGTTTTCATGGATGATTTCTCCGTGGTGGGGGATTCGTTAGAGGACTGTCTTCACAACTTAAGAAGAGTGCTCAAAAGATGTGTGGATACAAATCTGGTGCTAAACTGGGAGAAGTGCCATTTTATGGTACAAGAAGGGATAGTCCTGGGGCATCGAGTGTCCAGCAAGGGAATTGAGGTTGACCATGCTAAGGTTGACATGATTGAGAAGTTTCCACCACCTACTTCAGTCAAGGCAGTGAGAAGTTTCCTTGGGCACGACGGGTTCTACAGGCGATTCATAAAAGATTGCTAACCCGTTATGTAAACTCCTTGAAAAGGATCACCCCTTTGTGTTTTCTAATGATTGCATGTTGGCATTTGAGGAGTTGAAGAAGAGATTGGTGACTGCACCCATCATTGTTGCACCCAACTGGGAGCAACCGTTTGAGCTCATGTGTGATGCAAGTGATTATGCTATAGGAGCAGTCTTGGGGCAGTGAAAAGATAAATGATGCACCCGATTTACTATGCAAGCAGAACGCTAAGCGGTGCACAACTCACTTACACCGTGACAGAAAAGGAGATGCTGGCTGTCGTTTTTGCATTCGACAAATTCAGGTCATACTTGATTGGCTCAAAAGTTATTGTTTACTGACCATGCAGCAATTAGGTACCTGATCGAAAAAAGGGAGTCAAAGCCACGCTTGATTCGCTGGGTTCTTCTGTTACAAGAATTCGATTTGGGGATACGTGACAGAAAAGGGACAGAGAACCAAGTCGCTGACCACCTCTCAAGGTTGTAAGGAGCTGAAAAGAAGGTAGAGGTCGAGGATATAACAGAGACATTCCAGGATGAACAATTACTAGCAATGACAACGGAGGAGGCACCGTGGTATGCTGACATTGCTAATTATTTAGCAAGTGGTATTGTACCTCATGAACTCTCCTCTATTCAAAAGAAAAAGTTCTTTCGTGATTGTCGGTCTTATTATTAGGATGAACCTCTATTGTTTAAAATCTGTGTAGATAACATGATCCAACGGTGTATCCCCGAGAAAGATCAAAATTCTGTTTTGCAGGCTTGCCACGCTTCACCATATGGTGGATACTTTGGAGGAATTCGCACAGCAGCTAAGGTGTTGGATTCGGGCTTGTATTGGCCAACTCTGTTCAAGGACGCCCATGCTTGGGTCAAAAACTGCGATGAATGCCAGAGGACAGGCAACATATCTCGCAGACACGAGATGCCAATGACCACAATTCAAGAGGTGGAGGTTTTTGACATGTGGGGGATCGACTTCATGGGGCCATTAGTCAGCTCGTATGGTAACAAGTACATATTGGTAGCAGTTGACTATGTCTCCAAGTGGGTCGAAGCAGTGGCTCTCCCGACCAATGATGCTAAAGGGTAAACAGGCTTTCTGAAGAAGAACATTTTCACATGTTTTGGCATCCCAAGAGCTATACTCAGTGATGGTGGAACACATTTCTGCAATAGAGCATTTGCAAGTTCGTTGGTGAAATACGGAGTTCGTCACAAGGTGAGCACCCCGTACCACCCACAATCAAGCGGGCAAGTTGAAGTGTCCAATAGAAAAATTAAAAGTGTCCTTACTAAAACAGTGAATGCAACAAGGACTGATTGGGAAAGGAAACTGGATGATGCGTTGTGGGCGTACCGCACAGCCTTCAAAACTCCAATTGGTATGTCACCGTACAAGTTGGTGTTTGGAAAGGCATGCCACCTCCCGATGGAGCTTGAGCACAAAGCACTTTGGGCATTGCGGCAGTTGAACTTGGACATGAAGACGACGGGCACCAACAGAGTCACCGATTTACATGAGCTAGAGGAATTCAGGTTCCAGGCATTCAAGAGTGCTAGATTATACAAAGAACAGATGAAAATGATGCATGACAAGCACATCGTGGACCGAAACTTCAAATCCGGAGAGCTAGTGTTGTTATACAACTACAGATTGAGATTGTTTTCGGGTAAGTTGAAGTCCCGATGGTCAGGACCCTTCAGAGTGGTGCAAATGTTCCCAAGTGCAGCTGTTGAGATTGAATCAGAGGATGAAACAAATAAGTTCACAGTGAATGGTCAGAGGTTGAAACACTACCTTGGAATGGAAAATGAGAAAGGGGGCAGAGAGATGATAATGTTGGAAGAGCCCTAGTACGTGAATGAGGAGTGATGCTCCTATCTTGCGTCGTGCCGCGACATTAAATTAGGCGCTGCATGGGGGGCAACCCATTGAATTGTTGTAATCGTCGTGCCACGACATTAACTAAGGCGCTGGTTGGGAGGCAACCCAACGATTGTGAATTGTGAGTTTTGGGAAGTACTAACCAATGCAGTTGACAATGGGCGGACGATAAGGCCATCGAAAGTGGTAAGAACAGGTGAAAAATATGAAAAAATTTGTGCCCAGGAGCGCGCCCGCGCTACAGGCCGCGCTAGTGGTCGCGCATATGGGCAAGTATTCTGCCTCAGCTCAAAAATACTAGCGCGCCCGCGCTACTAGCGCGATCGCGCTAGTGGCCGCGCATATGGGCTTGTGTTCTGCCTGGGCTAGCGCGGCCGCGCTCGTCCCGCCCACATCTATGAGTTTTGTGTCGTATTTTTTATTTTTTTGTTTATCTTAATTTTTTTTTAATTTAGCCTAAATTAAAACCCCCCCTTTTCTAATAACCCCCCCTCTTTAATCCCATACCCCCCACCCATTCCACCACATTGAACGATAATTCCCCAACCCTAACCCCTTCTTCCTCAACGAACCCCCCTCCTCTTCCACTCCCGTCTTCTTCAAAATTCCTAACCTCACTCTCTCAAGTTTCAAGACACATTCCCCTCCAATTTCTTTTCTTCTTCCCACAATCCGTCACTGCAGGTAGGTGTTTCTTGTTCCATTTTTCCTTTTTCTTTCAATTTTGTTTTTCAGAATTTCGTGGTTTTTAGTGTTGAATTTTTGTAGTTGTTTTCCTTTCTTTTTTGATTAGTAGAATTGGTAACATATGTTGTAGTGTTTGTGGAGGGTAAGATTGGTGGAGTGTAGACTCACTTGGTATGTGATTTTGGTGGATATTGTAGTGGTGTTGAAGTTCTAACATGTGTAAAATGGGGTATGAGTACTTAATGCCCACAAGGTGTTTGTGGAAAGGCCTCAGTGAACGTAATTGTGTAGTTGTGACCACTTATACGTGTGAAGTCCGAGTAACCGCATTGCGTCATAATTTTGTGTTGGGCTATGCTAATGTGCTCCCGTTTTTCAGGTACTATGGCTCCATCTCGGAAACGCCGCACCACAGGTGCCTCTTCTAGTAGCCAAGCTGACTCGTCCAGGGCGCGCGGGGTAGCCCCTGCTCGCCCCTTTGATAGTAGCAGGTTTGTCTCTGCTAAGGCTCAGGACCGCTTTGCAGAGGAGGCCACTAAAAAGTCGATTCCGGAAAGAGGCAATGACATAGGATCAGTCCAGCTGGGCTGCCCTCACATGTATACTGAACTAGTGAGGCGGGGGTTGCAAACTTTCATTGATGAGCCGGGCGAAGGCAATGTAATGGTAGTTAGAGAATTTTACGCCAATGTGAAGGAGCAGGTCGATGGCGTAGTCACGGTGCGCCGAAAGGTGGTGAATGCCTCTGTTGAGGCTATATGGACGACGTACCAGCCCCCTCCCGTGGATCCTTATGATGACTTTTATGTGGGGTATGGCAGAACATACGCGCATTGGGAGACGTTCTTTGAAACAATCTGTGTACCCGGAAAGGAGGTTGTCTGGATGAAGTATGGTAAGAAGTTCCACTCCTCGGCACTAACCTTTGAAAGGAAGTGCTGGTTGTATGTTATCAACAACCGTCTGCTCTCGTCCTCCAACACTACGGAGGTGGATGGCCCTCGAGCGGATCTGATCTGGTGCTTCGTCAATGGTCACAACTTTGACGTGGCCAGAGTGATTCATGAGGAGATGTTCATCCGCTGTCCAATCAAAAGGTATGGGTTCTTTTTCCCGTCATTGGTTTCTAAACTTTGCAGGGCAGCTAGAGTGCCGAAAAATCTGGCAGTGGATGGTATAATGCCAAAAGACCGCAAGTTCCGGGCAGACAAGGTAACCACTGGTAAGGAGCCGGCAGCAGCAGGTGGTGAGGATAGTAGTGACTCTGATGACTCTGAGGATGAGGAGACTGAGCAGGAGGATGTGGGGGATGTGCACAGGCCCATGAGCAAATTGCAGCAGCTGCAACACCATTTGGGACTGCAACACCTTCTGGAGCTGCTCGGGTTTCCCGGTTCACCGCTTTGGAGCAGGAAGTAGCTGGGTTGCGTACCTCGGTCACTGACTTGGGTACCCGTGTTGACGTGGTGGCTGACCGACAAGTGAAATCGGAGAAGAAAATCTTAGGCTGGCTGAGAGGTCTGGGTCGTGCTTGTCAATTGAACCCAGACACCGTCTCCGATCAGGAGTGATCTTTCAGGGAAGTTCCTTTACCTCACTGTTCCTTAATTTTTATGCCATGAGGACATGGCTACCTTTTAAGTGTGGGGTGGGGGATACTTCAATATGTGTATGTACATGTAACAAATTGATTGTTTGATGCTTTCTTCTTCTTGATTGTTTTTTTTTTTTGTGTGGTTTGAGTGTTAGTTAATTTAGGTAAGTGTAAAGTAGGTAAGTTGACCTGTCCCGACGACGGATCTCTCTCGACGGGGTTCTTGAGGGACTAAGTCGACGTGAAAAAAAAAGGAATATGGAGACTCTTCCTGATGACGGATCATTTAGACAATTTTCTTGAGGAAGTAAGTCTAGAGAAAAGACCAAAAAGATTTTTGTTTATTTTTAGGTAGTGTAGTAACTCCCCCTTGGTTTTTCTTTGGGCCACGGTTCTTTTCCAAGGGTTTAGCTTGAACCGGGTGTAGGTAGTTTTTATTTATTTTGTTTTTATTTTGTAGTTAGTACTGATGGGCTACGAGCTGAAATAGAAAAAGAAACCCTTTGCGTTGATACACCTGAACACAATAGACACTAGAGTGTAATGCCTAGTCTCAATGGTTGACTCTTGCTAAAGTGCCTTAAAGTTGTATGTTTGTAGCTGACTTGAACACTTAAAAGAGAATGTCTTGATAAATCAATCCGGAGTGAGTCATATGCCATGTGTGTGTGAGCTATACTATATTCCATGCTTTACATTTGATGCCTAGAACTTGCCCTGTGTGTTTGCGAAGCGAAATAGTAGCTACATTTAGTCTTAGAAGTGATATAGGCATTTCGTTGTTAAGCCAGATATATAACGTAAACCCACCTGAATGTAATACATCGTAGTTAACCCCGTTGAGCCTATAAGCCTGTTTCTTTGGCAACCACATTGCGAACCTTACCCAATTGTTTGAATAGCCTTATGCTTGAACCTTTTTACCTCCCATGAGCACTTGAATGGCCTTGACATATGCAAAAGTTAAAGTGCGAAGTGGTGGTTTGGTTTTGAGCGGAGCCAATGAAATAGAGGAAAGGTGCAGTTTTGAAGAACAAAAGAAGAAGCGCCACGACAAAAAAAAAATTATAAGTAAATAAAGTAGTTGATAAGTGGTAGCTTGATACAAATGCACCTAAAGGAATGGGACGTTATAAATAAATTGTGGGGAATGTCTGGTTGACATAAGAATGATATGGAATGTTAATGTGTTTTGTATTAAAAGTGCTTAGGGAGATTAGTCACTATATCCAAATATATCCTACCCATCCCTTAGCCTACATTACAACCAAATGAAGTCCTAATTGATCTTAGACTGGATAGGCTCGATTAGTAGAGTAGTACACTACGGGCAAGCCTATGGTGCATCTTAGTGGCATGTGAATGTTCTTTTGGAGAGTGAGCGAATTTTGTCCATCTGAGTTCCTAATTGTTTTTAATCATATTAATTGTGGAACTACTCTCTTGTGTGATGTGAGGGCATGTAATTCACAAAGGAAAGGTAAGTCTTGACTTCTGTATAGAGTAGTTTGAGTAAGTGTGAATATTGCATGGTACGAGAAATTCGACTTTTGAGACAAAGATTGTTCACTACTAGGCGTAACTTTGATGAATTGTTCTTGGTGTGAGGGAAAATGCGTAGTGAAGGAACCTCTATAGATTGTAGTGGATTGCTCGAGGACTAGCAATGAATTAAGTGTGGGGTGTTGATAATAGGCTAGATTCATGTAATTTGGCGTCTGTTTATGCCCCAACTTGATTATGTTTCACTGTTCTAATATAGTTAAATGATGATAAATGAGCTCTAATTGTGAATTTTACACTTTGTAGGAGTAAGTGGCATGAATGAGGACTTAAGACTGTAATCGGAGCTAAATTGAAGCAAGAAAAGCCCCTAGGAGCTGAGTACGTGGGAAGACGAGAGAAAGAAGAGATGAAATGGAGACCTGGACTAGCGCAGCCACTAGCGCGTCCACTAGCGTGACCGCGCTAGCCCAGATAGGCGAGGCAGAATGATAGGGCATATGCGCGGTCACTAGTGCGACCACGCTAGCCCAATTCGGAAAAATTAAATTTCAGGGGTAAATTCGGAAGTTCGGGGGTAATCCACTTAACCTATAGAAGGTCCAGTTCGCCCAAGGGATGAGGAGGAAGGTTTAGAAGGCTTGTTTTTAGACTACGGAGGAGGAAGAACAAGTGTGTGAAGATCTACAAAACATTAGAGTTTTTTCTAACTCCTTTTACTTCTTGCAATAAAGCATTATGAACAACTTTGTAGTTTTATCTTATTTTGTTATGAGTAGCTAAACAATTATCTAGGGTTGATGGAACCAATTGTTGGTTGAAGTTTTGACTCAACTGGTTAAAATCGAGCCGGAATTATTATATGATTGTTCAACTACGTTTTGTATGTTTTTGATTAATTGAATGGGCCCTTGATCAATCATGTCTAATTGCCTTATATTGCTTGAGAAAGAATATTAGGTTAGACTGCTGTTGAACAACACCACTTTTGGGTAATTGAAGAGATTCATTACTTGAACTTAAAAGTGGGTTTAGAGATAACGGAACTTTGGTGGGATAATTTAGAGCTACACATATTGTCAGCTAGGGTAGTTCGAGAGAATGCTCTAGTAAATTATTGTAGTTGATCGAGAGATAATTACGATAACCCATAGCTCTTAATCCTCACAGAGTATTACGGCGAGAT